ATGTTATATACTTCTGGATTTTAAAGTACCCATTTAGAAGCCAGTTGCAGTTCTAATAAATGTATTTGGTCATTTTCCTTGTACCTTTCAATATCCTTTCTTTGTTCTGTATGTTAAGTGTTTTGATTATTTTGTGCCCATGGGACCCTCTTTTCTATTTCTATTTTATTTGGTGCCCTCTATACTCCTTGTACCTTCATATACCTTGCCTTCTATGGTTAGGCAAAATTTCTACCCTGATTTTATTTTTTCCTTTGGCTTGGGCTTTCTCACCTTGATCTATTTCTAATATCCACATATTTCTTCTTTTCATAGTATTGCAGATTTCTTTGGTGTTTATAGCCAGAGTTTTATATTGATCACTTTATTTATCTATGTATACATTTTGTCATATCATATCTTCAGTAGATAAGATTCTCAACTCTTGTATTATATTAGAGCAGCTAAGTTCTATAGTTCCTGTTCAAATTTCTAATTTTGTAATTTCCAGAATTCCCCAGATTTTTTTTTATTAAACATTTTTTTTCCATTTTCAGGTCTTAAATACTTTTATTTATTTCTTCCAATTGTTTCTTTGCATTTACCTGGCTTCCTTTAAGGAATCAAATGTTTGTTTGTATTTTCCTGAATTTCTTTAAGGGATTTAAGGATCAATTCCTCTTTAAAAATCACTGTCATATTCATAAAAACTGTTTTAATGTTATTTTCTTGTTTTCCCCCTATTTTGGAATGTTCAGAGCCTTCTATGTTTGGCTTGCAGGGTTGTAGTGGGGACACATTGTCCTTCCTGGCTGTTATTTATTGTATTTATATGTAGGCACCTAGAGTTTTGGGACTGGTGAGATTTTAGTTCTAAGTGCTGTTATCTGTATTTTGTTTTGTTTAGTTACTTTGTTTTGCTCTGTTGGCTAGGTATATTATTGCAGTTAAATAAGGATCAGGATAAACAAATAGGCTGAATAGATGTTTATTCAGGGAGAAATAACTTACAACGTAGACAGATGAACACCAGCAAGTTCCACCAGCAAGATCCTCTCCTCTCCGTGACTCTCCAGCCAGAGAGTGTTCTGGGTTCCTCCTCAGACCTCCTTCTATTCTTTCCAATTACTCCTGTGTCCCACTTCACTCTTTCTCAAATGCATGGCCTCTTACTCTTTAGTTATCCAACCTGCTGAGTTCACTTAGAAATGCTGATATGCACGTGCATTTTTGTCTGATTGGTTGTGATTGCCTATTTTCTCAGGATGCTTGTTTTGGCTACATTTTGTGTCATTAAATTAGAATCACAATGAAAGAGAGAAACTTGATTGAGAAAATGCCCCCAGCAGAATGTACTTAGAGCAAGCCTGTGGTACAATTTCTTGCTTGATGATCGATGTGGGAGGATATAACTCATTGTGGGCAGTACACTTCTGGGGTACTGGTTCTCCATGCTATATGTCATCAGATTGGGAAGGTCATGTGGAACAAGGCAGGGAGAATCATTCTTTCATGGCTTCTTCATCAAATCCTGTCTCTATATTCCTGACTCTTTGCCCTGATATTCCTCAGTGGAGAAATTTTTATGCACAGGAAATCATGAATGTTATGCACACATGGTTGTCTCCTCAAAGGGAGAGATGTACAACTGGTTTTCTGCTTAGAAGTCTGAGCATGAAGGTGTCTAATAACCTGGTGAGTTAGGGATTGTAGGTAAGGGAAGGCATGTGGTATTTGCATTTTTTCAACATCAGGTACCTCCTTATGTAAAGTATTTTCTAGCTCTAGCAATTTACCTACACATTTCAGGTTTTCATTCTTTATGACTATGTATTCCACTATGTATATATAACATAATTTTATTATCTATTCATAAACTGAAAGGCATTTTAATCATTCAACATGGCTGAGCCAAAACCAGATTTTCAACAAATGCTAACCAGTCATATGTCTGGGGCATCAGATAGATTTATTTATAGCTTCTTGAAAATTTTCTACACTGATACCCTTAAACAGTGAGAAGGGTTTCATTTCTTACTAACTCTCTCCAGCATTGGTTGTTGGTTGTTTTGTTGATAGTGGTCAATTTGAATGTGATAAGTTGAAATATCAAAATGATTTTGATATGCATTTCCCTCATAGCTAAGTATTTTGAGAAATTTAAAGATATTTGGTAGCAATTTTTATTTCTTCTATTGCAAACTATGTCCAGATGAAGTCAATTTTTAATTAGTCATTTGTTGTCTTTGATATTTGCTTTTCATTCTATTTTATAATATGGATATTAATCCTTTTTCATATGTACATCTTATGAAGACTTTGTTCCATTCATTTGTCTGCCTCTCCACTCAATTGACTGGTTCTCTTGCTGTGCAGAAGCTATTTAGTTGTATGACGGCTCACTTTCAGTTGTTGTACTCAATTCCTGAACAAATGGAGTCCTAACAGAACATTCTTTCCTACATCTGTAAATTGATGAGTACTGCCTAAGTTTTCTTCCAGCATTCTTATTGTTTGAGGTTATAAACTGAAGTCTTTAATTCATTTGTGCTCTTTTTAAGCAAAAGATAGCATGTTTTTGTGTGTGGGTATTTTTTTTCCATTTGGGTTTTAGAAATTTTTTTTCCTTTTTTTCTTTAAATTTGACACAAGCTTGTTTTACACATCAATCCCAGTTCCCTCACCCTCCCATCCTCCCCTATCATCCCCCCTAAACCCCAGCCATTCCCTTTTTGCTCCTCTGGAAGGGTGAGGCCTTCCATGGGGAGTCTTCAAAGTCTGTCATAGTATTTGGGTCAGGGCCTAGGCCCTATCCCATGTGTCTAAGCTGAGGGATGGGCTCTCAATATCCACTCATATACTAGGGATAAGTATGTATTCATTACTAGAGGTCCCATAGACTTCCTAGTCCTACTAACTAATACCCACATTCAGGGATTTTTGTTCTGTCCTATGCTGATTTCCCAAATTGGGGTATTTGATATAATGCTGTTGGTCAGGTACTAGTTTCTTATCGGCTAGCTCTGTCTTAATAATTAACCCATTTCTATTAATCTAATATTTCCATGTGCTTTCATCTTACCAAGGAACAGGGCCTGTGTCTGGTCTTCCCAGTCTCTCCATGCTGACTCCTCCTTCCTACTTCCTCTTACCTCCTTGTCTCCTAGTCCCTCCTCTCTTGTTTTCCTATTGGCTAACAGTGCTTTATTCATTAACCAGTATGAGAAACATATTTACAGAATGACATCTCCCATCACCTTACTTTTTTTAATTTGCTATTTTATAATATATCTTTGTATCTGGAATGATAATCACATTATTCTATTTTTCTCAGGGTTATTTTGTCTATCCTTGGTCATTTGTAGTTACTTTGAATTTTGAGATGAATTCTTCTCTTTTTTACTCATTAAAAATTTCAATTTATTTATTTTGGTTCATCTCCAAACTTCTAATATCCTGTATAAATCCAAATTGAGTGTGGTGGATATTTTATATGAATGTGTATATTTACTTTACAAATATTTTGTTGTAGATTTTTTTGAATAGATGTTCAAAGGAATATTGCTTTGGAGCATTATTTCTTTGTGTGTGTGCATGTGTGTGTGTGTGTGTGTGTGTGTGTGTGTGTGTGTGTGAGAGAGAGAGAGAGAGAGAGAGAGAGAGAGAGAGAGAGAGAGAGAGAGAGAGAAAGAGTAGGTTTCTGATGTATTCTTTATCTGGTATTTAGCTTGAGACAATTATTGACTTCATAGCAGTTTGGGTATGCTCCTTCTTTCTCTGAGAATGGAATACTTTTAAAGGTATAGCTTGTGGTTCTTTGAACGTCTGGTAGAATTCTGCTGTGAATCAATATGAGCCAGGGTTTTGTTTGTCCTAATGGATTTTTATCATGCTTTATTTCTTTTGTTTCTTATGAAACTCTTTGTGGTGTTATTCTCTTCTTGGCTTGACTTTGGTAGTTTTTATATTTCTAGAAATTCATCCATTCTTTTACATATTCTATGTTAATTGAATATAGGTTTTAAAGTAATCCCTTAGAATATTCTAAATTTCTTTCATATCTCTTGTGGTCTTTCTCTGCTCAATACTTAGTCTGTTGATTTAGGCTTCTGCCTTGTTTCTGTTAAATTGAATAATGGTTGGTTGTTCTAGTTTATATTCTCATAAAGGAGAGAACCTCCTCTTACATTGGCTGATTCTTAGTAGTTTTCTTTATAACCCTCTCATTAATTTCCATTATATTATTAATTTTTATTAGTACATTTGCTTTGATTTTGTTTTCCAAATTTTTGTGTCTAGATAGAATAAATGGATTTATTTCGATATTTATTTTTTAGGGTTTTTGATTGTTTGTTTGTTTGTTTTGTAGGTTTTTGCTTTGTTTTGTTTTAAAAGCTTGTTTTGTGTCCCCGCATGCAGTTTCTTTTTGTAGACTCTTCCATGAAATGCTGAGTGTAATGAATATTACTTGGTGTTCAGTTTGGAAGTTCAATTTTAATGCCTTCACATTTCCTTGTTTATTTACATATATATTAATTTAGTTTTTTGTTATTGTCCAGATAATCCATTTTATCTGTTTTGAGGAAAATGGATTATTGAAATCACCTACTATTTCTGAGTTGATCTGTGTTTTTATTTCCAATAGTCCTGTTTCTATGAAATTGTGTGTGTCAAAGTTTAGTGCATATATACTTAGAATAATCATGTATTATTATTGGTTTATTTCACCTTTGTTTAGAAAGAAGTGCTTTGTACTCCTTCTAATTAAGTTTAGTCTGAAGGTTGTTTTGTCCAATATTATAATATGAAAACACACTTTATTCCTTGTATAATTTTCTTGCAATAAAAACAAATATTTTTATCTTATCCCTTGTGGTGGTGCATATATTTAAAGCTATTTTGAGTTTCTTATGAAGACAGAAAGATAAATTTTGATCCTTAAGTTATTTAACCAATCTGAATTTTAAGAATGGAGACTAAAGACAACAAACATTTAACATTACTTTTGAGAATTGTGCACTGTATTAAAAGCTACATTTGTGGGGAAGGTATTTTTAAATAATCATACTCAACATGAGAGATTTGGTAGAATGATTAAGACCATACTCCACAAAGGCTGTATCATTTAGTATGACTCATTGCTATCTGTGGTTTACATTAATAAAAAATATAAAAACAACAGCTATGATATAGTCTTTGGTATTTTTTATTTTAGCCATACCAACAGGAGTAAAAATGGTATCTCAGAATTGTTTTGCTTTGCATTTCCCTGATAGCTAAGGATGTTGAACACTTTATGTGTTCAGCCATTTTAGATTCATCCATTTAGAATTCTCTATTTAGTTCTGTACCCAACTTTTAAATTGGATTATTTGGTATTTTGGTGACTAGCTTCTTGAGTTCTTTGTATATTTTTTTTGATCAGCCCTCTCTCAGATATGGGGTTGGTGAAGATCTATTTCCAGTTTCTGGGCTGCCATTTTGTCTTGTTGACTATGTCCTTTGCCTTACAGAAGCTTTTCAATTTCAGGAGGTTCCATTTATTAATTGTTGATCTCAGTGTCTGTACTACTGTTGTTATGCTCAGGAAGTGGTATCCTGTACCAATTCAATCAAGGGTATCTCTCACTTTCTCTTCTAAGAGGTTCAGTGTGACTGTATTTATGTTGAGGTTTTGACCCATGTGGACTCAAGTTTGTGCATAGTGATAGATATGGATCTTTCTGTAGTCTTCTATAAGTCATTGTCCACTTTTGCTAGCACCAGCACCATTTGGTGAAGATACTTTCTTCTTTCCATTTTTTAATTTTTAGCTTTTTTCTTTTTTGACAAAAATCGAGTGTTTGTAGTTGTGTGGGTGAATATCAGGGTTTTCAATCCAATTCTATTGGTCTTCCTATCTATTTTAGTGCCAACACTAAGCTGTTTTCAGAATTATAGCTCTATAATAGAGCTTGAAGTCAGGGATGGTAACACCTCCAGATGTCCCTTTATTGTACAGGGTTGTTTTGGCTATCCTTGGTCTTTGTTTTTCCATATAAAGCATTGTTCTTTCAAGGTCTGTGAAAAATTGTACTGGGATTTTGATGGGGATTTTGGTGAATCTGTAGTTTGCTACAAGGATAACTCCAATTAACATTATGTGCAATAGTGGAGAAGCTACCTTAAATTCCCTTCCAAGATATTAAGGTTGATGACTACCTTATATGCCATTCTAGAGCCTTCACCTAGTAGCTGATGAAAGTAGAAGCAGACACCCACAGCTAAACACTGAGCCAAACTTCTGGAATCCAGTTGCAGACAGGGAGGGGTGGTGAACAAAGGGGTCAAGATCAGGCCCCTGGTAGTGGATCAGTTTTATCCTTAGAATATGAATGGACTTTGGAAGCCCATTCCACATATGTGGATATTCCTTCAATGTAGACACATGGAGGAGGGCATGGGCCCTGCTCAAAATGATATGACAGACTTTGAAGACTCCCCATAGAAGTCATCACCCTCCCTGGGGAGCAGAAAGGGGATGGGATGAGTGTTGGTGTTGGTAACAGGGGAGGACAGGAGAATGAGGGAACTGATTTTGATATGTAAAACAAGCTTGTTTCAAATTTAAATTTAAAAACTATAAAAAAGATAAGAGAAATAAAAGAAAAAAGAAAAGTGTGCAATGATTCCAAGTCTTATTTTTTTCGATTCTGTTCCTATACCTGCTTTAATGTTTGGTGGTTATAACCATTTTTTTTTCTATAGTCTTTTAGATTATTGCTCTCATTTGACTGAAGTATTCTTTCCAGTATTCTCTGGAAGGATAGTTAAATGACGAGGATCACTTTAGCCTGTTTATATCATAGGAAATATCTGTGTCCTCAAATAGAGCACATATTTTTGAAGGATATGGAGCTCTAGTTTGACATCCATGACCTATATGGTGTTGTTGTTCTGGGTTCTTTTGGCTTTCAAAATACCACCAGGGAATTAGTTATTATTCTAATGGGTTTTATTTAGTATGTAACTTGTATTCCTTTTTTATGTTTTCTCTTGCAGCTTCCCAGGCTATTTCTTTATTCTATATAATTAATATTTTAACTATTATGTTCTATGGCAAATTTCTTTTCTGGTCATGTCTAATGTGTTATGTGTGCTTCTTCTATCTGTATAAACATGCATTTCCTTAATTTTGGAAAGTTTTCTCTGATATACATATATATATATATATATATATATATATATATATATATATATCTTGTTTATTCTATTGGCCTGGGATACCTCCCTTGTTTCATGGCTATAATTAGAAGATATTGTAATCTAATTGTGTCAATTTTTTTCATGTATTGTGTGTTTAATATTTTGTATTTATGTTATAATGTTATATGTGGTCTAATTATCTTCATGTCCTAATATTATATTTTTTACTTGTTTTTTTAAATTGTGAAATGTTTTGGTGTGTTTTCTAATTAGATTATTGAATTTTAAATTCCCTCTATTTAAGGTTGCATTTTCTTCAATATTTTATTTCTTCATATTATTCAGGGTTCAAATAGTGAATTTCCTTCATCATTTAATTCAGACATATCTTTATGATTTCTTCAGCATTTCTTAGGCACATTTTACTGTTCTCATTAAATTAATTTAGTTCTTTGTGTCTTCTTTATACTCCTTAAATTCTTTGATGAAGTTTATGATTATATCTCTAAAATCTGTGCCCTGGTCTTCATTTCAGCAATTATCTTTTAAGAAAATTTCTATATAATTGGTGGATTTGAGTAAGGGTGAATATACTTTCACCACTTTTCAAATTGTTTTTATGATATTATGGTTAGGTGTGGGCATGTAGACTTCGTTTTGAGGTTCTGTATCAGATGTGAGTTGCCTCACATCAGGATGCTTCAGATGGAGCTAGGCATCAGATGAGTGCCCCAGAAAAGTCTAGAGTTTGAATGTTTTAGGTGAGTTTATAGACCAAATCATTGAACATTCTTAAAATATATAGCTGACTATAAAATTTTTTAAAAAAGAAAACATGGATTTCCAGAGTTCAAATGTTTCAACTCCTCTTTTGTAGTCTTTTCTATTTATTTTTTAAAAAAAAAAAATGTGTTCAGTAAAGTATCTTTAGTACTGAAGCTAAAATTGTGACAGCACTCAGTACATAGTGTAGAGGATTTAATATTAAAGTAGAATTTTCCAATTTTGTTACAATTATAATTTCAGCTTCTCTGTGAGGCTTAATGATTTAATTCATTTAACAAATGCATTGATAGGAAGATGCCTCAGGTTGTCTAATTTATCTGTGTATTTAGAAATCTTAGCAAGACATAGGCCTTTTATTTTTTTCCTGAAGAAGTAAGTCAACACATGTCTTGTAATTTCTGTAATTGTATTAACCAAGTCCTTATTTGTCAGTATGGTTAGGTGCTTATACTCTCTCTAATGGCCCATGTCTCTCTGCTGTCAGACAAAATGTCCTCTTCGCTGACCTAACCTAAGAAAACAACAACCAATTTTATGTTCTATTTCTTTGTAATATTAATCATACTTTGATTTGTTTTTGCTTTTCCTTCTGTCTTTTAAGGGTTTTGTGGTTTATGCTCAAGTGTTCTGGTCATTCTCTTTCTTGTCCTTGTGACTCAGAGTGTGTAATCTGTTTTTCCATTATTTTAAAAATTAGATAGACTATAAGCCATTGTAACAAGGAGTTTCTGTCTTTCTCTCTCTTGTCAATTTGTCTCTTGTCTATTTAGTTTGTTTACATCTATTTAGTCACTTGCATATCTATGTTACCATTCAAAATCCTTTTACTTCTATAAAGCTTCCACACAAAGACATACAAGCAACTAAGGAATTCAGAAAGCTAGAGAACTAGTCTAATCCAGGAAGAGGACATCAACAGGATATCTAATAACAAATGGCCAGCACTGAAAACAGACTGAGCAGATTACATTTATGTGTTAAGGAATATATCTGTATGTATACATACATACACATATGTACCAACAATTAATGAAAAGAGACCATGAATTTTAAAAAGATCAAGGAGTGTGGGGAAGGTTTAGAGGAGAAGAAGAAGATACGATTGCATTTTAATCTGAAAAACAAACTGCATTTACGAATAATAATGAGGAATGTCCTCTTGCAGTCCTATTTCTATAAATAAAGCACTCTGTGGTAAAGATCAGTAAACATTTAGTGCTGTGAATCACTGTCTTCAGCAATGCTTAATTTTCTATAGTCATTCTCTGAGAATTAATATTGCTACTGATGTTATCACGATTTCAATCATAATTAATTGACTATAACCATCCTTGACACAATATTCAGCTTTAGTAGCTACAAGAAAAATGGAAACATTCCTTGATCTAGAATCCAGGTAACAGAGCCAAGAAGAGAAGTACACAATTATGGGTATCATCACAAAACTATAAATGACTGAAAGGTCAAAATAGTCTCATAGAAATTTTTAATGAGTTCCATAAAAATGTTCTCAAATGAAAATTTCCCCAGGGGTAAACTCTGAAGCATAGAACATAAAGGAACAGTCATCAACTTTTTCCTAGAGTCAAGGAGTTTAAAGACAACAGAAGCAAACAGCTAAGTGTAGATCTGTATGTCACACTGCCAGGATCCCTGATGGTTAAAATGAATGCCAGCTTCTTTCAGTTTTCTAGACATGTACTTTAAACTAGAAACAAGAACTAAATTTTATTTGTATTTCAAGAATTTACCTTGGTTAATTCTTAAACACAGCATTTACCTGGAAGAAGTATCACTAAATCCAACTTCCATGTTCTCTTAAATGTGAGGGACAGAGCTTCATAATTGTCATGGCTTGGAGTCACACACAAAAATTAAAGAATAACCAGCCTTTTCATAATAGATGATATAACAAAGAGTAAAAGTAGGAGTTTTTAAAAAGTAGGAGTTTTTAAGCTGGGAATTGGCCACAAACACCTTTAATCCCAGAATTCGGGAGGTAGAGGCAAGTGGATCTCTGTAAGTTTGAGACCAGCCTGGTCTACAGAGCTAGTTCCAAGACAGGCTCCAAAGCAATTCAGAGAAACCCTATCTCGAAAAAAAAAAAAAAAAAAAAAAAAAAAAAAGAGTAGGAATTTATATGAAATTGCCATAGCTTTTGGTCCTGATATTAAGACATGAATTTGAGTTTATTTATTTAACTCTGTTAAAAGGGAAAGTATTTTCCTATGATAAAGATGGATCAGTGACATCATATTTTCTGTACAGAAAAGGTGTATCCTGCTAATGTTACAAACACAATATTCAATTAAAGACTTGAAACAGTATAGAAAGAATTTTAACACACCAAGTTTTCATGTTTATAAGATTATGTTTTATACTCACATGCAGTGTATATGCCATTTGATAATATACTTTTAAATTCTAATAACATAAAAAATACAGTTAATGTAATGTTACTGTTTCATTTGAAAACAGTTTGGAGGAGAATAGAAAAATTCCTGATATTATAACTATCTGAGAATATGTCATATGAATAACATAAGATTTCTAGAGAAAACTGCATTTTAGCAACTTGCATTTAATTCATAAATCTTTGAGTATACTAGATGTAAGGACAGTACTTGTTGCTAGACATGGACTACTATATAATTTTGTAATTTATTTGATGAAACCAAAAATATATCAAATTACTGATAATAGTGATAATTATAATTTTTAAGTGGGCTTTTTTGGCTCATACCTGCAATCATAGTCACTTTGGAGATTATGCCAAAAAGTTAAAATTCAAAATTTGTTTGGGCTATAAATCAAGTCCAAGGAGATTCTGGGCAACATAAAACCTCATATGAAAAGAAAAAGAATACAGAAATAGCTGGTGTTATAACTCAGTAATTAGGCACTTTGGTTAGCATGTTTTCTGCTCTTTTGGAATCCGTTACTACAAGGGAATGTGCTTTTAGGTTTCAGGATTTATTAAAAGTATATTTCTTCCACCTAAGAACTAGTAGTCATCAAAAGACAGGATGGGGTTTGTCCTTCTTTGTATATATTTCTCTCATTGGTTAATTAATAAAATACTGTTGGCCAAAAACTCAGGAAGATAGGAAGAACTAGGAAAAGAGGGAAATTCTGGAAAGTGTAGGCAGAGATCAGGCACTATGTAGCCTCCAAAGGAGTAACAGGTCTGGACCCTTCTCCAGTAAGAAAAGATCACATGGAAATACTTAGATGAATAGATATAGGTTAATAATTATGACATAGCTAGCCAATAAGAAGCCCTAGTCATTGGCCAAGTTTCATAATTAATATAAGTATTTGTGTGTTCATTTGGGGGCTCAAGTGTGGCAGGACCTGCCAGGCCAAGAACCTCTCTCAACAAGAGAGTGCCTTGGATCTATTGTTCTTTGATCCCTTCTATTCTTTTGCAATTACCACTTTCATTTGTTTATCACTAAGTCATGAAAAAGACTATATGTTAAAATAGCATTTCCCCACTAAGACCAGGGACTAATACTAATCACCTGAAATAATTGCACCCCTGGGAATCCCTTCTTTTTTTTTTCTTGTTCTGCACAATAAACCTGGCCATGTCAATTTAATTACTATATTGCTTCCACTCAAAGTGATTACGTTAACTAAAGGGTTTAGCAAATATATTTTGCTAGCACTTTATATGAACCCCTTTAATTTTGTCTCATGATAATTCTGGAAAACAGAGTAATAGCCAAGTTCTCAAATAGACATTTCAACATCCTTGAAAACATGCTGACAGGATTTAATATGTTAATGTATCTTTCTATATGATTTAATTTTCTCATTGTTTAAGCCAATTGTATGTGGATGAGATATATAGAAATATGTGCTTTTCACACTGTGAAAAATGTGTATTAAGACTTTAAAAAATATTTTCTAGCACTATTTATTCAAGCTAAGCATGGGTGTGTGTGTATCTTAGGATTCAACTATTATACACCTGAATAAATAGTTTTTGAAATCTGAGTATGTGTCCTCTGATTAACATGTATAATAATGTCCATCATGTTAATAGTAAAGACTTAATCTTGTAAATAATGTAAGTGCACAGAAATGGTTGAATATTAAGAAAATCAGCATATGTTCATAAAATGAAATTGCTTCTATTAATAAAGAGGATTGGTAAATGACATATTAGAAGATATGGGTAAATTTAATACATGACAATAAGTTAGAAATAGAAGGAATTGCTCTTCTTTAATGGATAGAATGCCTGGAATCATCGAAACAAAATGTAATAATACCTCACATATTCCTATTATTTCTGCTAATCTAACGTGTAGACACAGAAAATAATGCTAATTACCCCTTGAAAATACTGTGGTATATTGCTTTTCTTTTTTTCTTCTAGTGTCCTGAATTTAAAAGGCCTAGAGATATTGCAGTTGACTGGGTTGCAGGAAATATATATTGGACTGATCATTCTAGAATGCACTGGTTTAGCTACTATACTACACACTGGACCAGCCTGAGATACTCCATCAATGTAGGACAACTCAATGGTCCTAACTGCACCAGACTCTTGACTAATATGGCTGGCGAGCCCTATGCTATTGCTGTAAATCCTAAAAGAGGGTAGGTTGATGTTTGGTGTTATTGTTTCTTGACATAATACAGATATCCATATTATAAATGTTCTATATTTTATTCAGTGTGGAAGAAATTTCTGAGACATGAAAAAATTTTTCTCTCAGAACCATTTCCTTTTTCAGATGTTGACACAAAATATATGTATAAAGGCTTTCTGTAGTGTTCAATTAGTTCATGAGTACCTCTTGTCTGGTGTGTTTATTTGTATGAATTAAAAAACAGCAGAAGATGATCAAATGTCTACTACTATTAAACATGAAGTGAATTGTCTAGAGCTTAAATATATCAAAAATAGTGTTTAGAGATTAAGAGAAACAAAATATGAAGATGTATATTTATATTTAATTTTAATTTTGATGATTTAATCTGAAAATATCTCTTTTATGGTATAAAATGAAAAGCCTCCATACAGTGCTATAAAGTAAAGGGAAACATTAAATGAAAGTATTAAATATCTACAAAGAACTCAGATTACTAGAATTAGAGAATATCTTTCCCACTCAATGAGAAAACCATTTCTTTTTTACAGAAATAGTTTCTTAGATCTCCCTGTAATTTCAGCACTTTAAGGCAGAAGGAAAAAGATTTTAAGGCCAGAATCAGAAGAAACTTGATGCTAGTCTGGGCTTTCCTATCTGGAAAAAGAAGAGAAAGAAAAATGTACTCTTTTGTGGGAGAGGAGGATTTTTCTAATGACTTAATTTTTTACATCTTTTTTTATTAAAAAGAGATTCTTCCCTCATACAATACATCCCAACCAAAGTTTTCCACCCCTTTATTCGTCTTAGCTTCCTCCCCTTTCTCTGAGGACTTTCTGTTTTGATCATACTGACACCCTCTCTCACCACTCTTGACTCATTGAAGAGTCCCCTTTCTACCATGTCCTCATTCTAATTTCATGTCTGTTTCCTTTTAAATCTTTATTTTACTTTTATTATCCATTCATTTGTGCATCATCTAGAATGCATTGAGTGATCTGTTACTATGAGATGATTTCAAATGTTAGAATTAGTTTCCTATTGAGGTTTTTATGGGATTTTCAGAACTAAAATTTATATAATAAATAATAAGTTATGGTGTATATTATTAAAATATATCTCAAAATTTACATTTGCTTAAGATTTAATTTACAATACTGTTTTACAAGACTCTCTGGTGGAGCTAGACATTCTATAGCTTTCAATATGGGTCAGGAATCTGCTTAATGAGGAGACTGGATCACTGGGACACATGTGGTCTGAGTGGATCCTGGTAAAGGAAGGACACAGTTTTCACAGCAGTATCTCCAAGCTAATATCCTTGACCTATTCTCTTCAGGATGATGTACTGGACTGTAATTGGGGACCACTCCCATATAGAAGAAGCAGCCATGGATGGCACTCTGAGGAGGATTTTAGTACAAAAAAACTTACAGAGGCCAACAGGTATGATGTATTTGCACGTACTAAATGTGAAACAAGATGATAAGCTTATTAGTATTAACAATTCTTTCTAGTACTGTTCATTAAAAAAACATTTACAAATAGAAAAAATGATATCTACAATGATCTTACAGAAGTTGTCAACATTTTCTATACTAGTCTTGCTAAGCTAAAGTCAGGTTATTATCGTAGTACTAGTTACATTATGAGGTGTTATTTGAAAACTGCTTAAGTTGTAAGTCTGTTGATAGAATTTTACATGAATAAAATTTTGAAAGATCCTAGAAATAGATTAGGGTATTTTAGAGATTCATATTAATTTTACTATATCTGGTAATATTACTAGAGGATATCAAGAGAAATGAATTCAAGAATGGTTACTCTAACTGTTTTCTGTAAGAAAACAGGTTTCATGGTCTTTGACTTTTGCATTCAGTTCTTCTTTCTGTTTACCCTGTATCTTTTCCATATCTCATCTAGGACTCTGAATAGTCCTCTCTCTCAGAACCACTCAGGACATCAAGCTTGATTCAGTTCCACATATCATGTAGCTTCCAAAATTTTCATCAGAATTTCCAAGGCGTGTTCCACTGTCTTCCTAAATATTTTCAACTGCCCAATAGAAAATTTTAACATTTCAGCAATAATACATTTGTGAAATGCTGTAATCCAAAGATTCTGTGTCTTCCACCCTACTCAGTCCAGCCTAGTCAAGAAAGCCTAATGACAGTTTATTTGCATGTTTTATTATTTATTATTCATGCTTGGTTATCTCTTATACTTTAAAAAATTTTGTTCTTAAATATCCATTAACTTAAAAGTTTGCCGTGTGAAATGCCTTTGACTCTGTTTTTTGGTTTATTAAGTATTTTACTTATCAACCAGTTTTCCTTTTCTCCTCTCTGCCTGTTTCTTCCCTCTATCTCCTTGCTCCCTCACCCATACATTCCTCAGTGCATAAGCCCATATCTTGGAGTCAAAACGCATGACAGATCAAGTTTAG